GCCAGACTCGGCATCGATCTCCATCAACAAAACAAGCACGTCGAGGAGTTCTGTAGTTTGGGCTAGAATCAAATTTCTAGTCGACAAACCTAACTACTCGTCCTGATGACGCAGGCTAATAGCAACGAGACATCGATCCAACAAATATGCCTGCTCCTGACACGTACAGTACACATGCATATGCATGGAGTCAGTACGTGTCCAGCCACCCATGATCAGGTATTTAGTAGATTGAGTTTTTAAAATTGATCTACTAATTCCGTAGATATATCCGGCATATATCTACAAAGGTATACAATATTTTATATACAATTTATCTTACCTATTTTTCCAATCTATACAATATTGTCAAATAAATAATTTATTATGTTTACCTAGAGCATGTCTTTTATACAATATCTATTGTGCAAGTGTCTCTGATGTTAAATCGACAACGGTTTAATACCGGGGGCTCGCTCTATTTTCTTCAGTATAAATCATGCTTGTTTACGGTTTACATAATGTGTGATATTTAATCTGCTCGCTATATCCTGATAATACTAGAAGTTCATGCAGTTTTTTGAGTTCATACTCGATATTCTCTGCTATATATCTTGTCTTCTAGAAAATATTTTTCAGGAACAATAGATCACTCGAGTAGGTTGTGGTCGAGTACACCGTATTATCGAGAACGATCTCGACAAATGCAGAGTCGTCGCGCCCAACCTACCAACGAAGACCGACGACCTATCTCATCGCACCGGCCGTGGCTGGACTATTTGAGAAAAGGTTGTTGACGGATAATTCGTCATGAACGTTGTCGGCTTGATCACTCGATATGATTGCGAACGGACATCCGGATATGCTATAAGTTTGGTATGTGAGTCATGCTGGTCACATGAGATGCACATGTAATAAACCAACTCTAGCGTTCTCGAACCAGTACGTAGCAATCTCCCGCACCGCAAACTTCCATTGGTGTTCGAGAGATGATTCTACTCGCTCGCTGGTTCTCGAACCAGTACATAGCAATCTCCCGCACCGCAAACTTCCATTGGTGTTCGAGAGATGATTCTACTCGCTCGCTGGTTCTCGAACCAGTACGTAGCAATCTCCCGCACCGCAACCTCCATTGGTGTTCGAGAGATGGTTCTACTCGCTCGCTGGTTCTCGAACCAGTACGTAGCAATCTCCCGCACCGCAACCTCCATGGGTGTTCGAGAGATGGTTCTACTTGCTCGCTGGTTCTCGAACCAGTACGTAGCAATCTCCCGCACCGCAACCTCAGATGGTCGAGGTACGACTACAGCAATAACGCAGCGGTCCTCGTACTACGACTTCAAATGATCGAGAGACACCTACTCACTGGTCCTCAACCAGTCAATTGTAGCGATCTCTCGTACATTTACTTCTAGTGGTTGAGTTACGACTACTACCTGGTTCTTGACTAGAGGTGTAGCGATTCTCCCATTACCTCTACTTCAACAAAGTTGATATCAGGTGCATAATATCGCCAGGTGTTTTACCCAGAGATCCCTTACCACAAAAGACACCTAGCGTTGAAACATATCCTAATGTCCCTTTACGCCGTCTTGACAAAACCTCTGAGGAACCTAAGGGAACTTCGGCTGGGGACACCCAGAGCGGATAAGGCTTTGTCGGATCCTTCAGAGACGAAATACCATGTAAGATCTGGTCGTGTAAGAGTTCTCGCCGTACGTATTAATCAAGCCGTGTAATCGGAAATGGATTTTCCAACTTCACGGCTGGGGGCTAGGATCAGTGCTCGTCCAACTAAGGCAGGTCAAAGGTCCAAGAACCTTATCATCCGAGAACGATTCTCCGACGACAAGGCTGGGGGCTAGGGAGAGTGTATAACTCAACAAACTGACTGGTCGAAGTCGGTAAAAGAGTAGACGCTCATATACAAAACATTGGTTTGTAAACCTAATTCATTTTCAGTTTTCCATACATTCTATAACATGTTACCCTTTGAGCACTCGCTCGGGGGCTATTTCTATCTAATATTCTTTTCTGAATATTGATTTCAGGAAAATTCTATTCGGCATTATCGAAGACTCCATGTCTCTATGGCTCTGTACGAAGATCGACTAAGGCGAGTACGATAAATGTTGACAAAGCTCCGTCGCAGTCTCTGCGCCTTCTCGATCGCTCGAGAACGGTTGGTAGATACCGACAAGGAATACAAAATGAAGAAATGGTGTACCCGCCGAGATAAAATTTCTTGACTTCAATCCAAATTCTCGATTACAGCAAGACGGGAGACTTAGTCGTATGCTCTGTACTTTCTTGGTTGACGTCGGAGATTGACTCAGACAAACCCTTTAGGTGCCCGCACGAGGCTGATAAAGGAAGTCAAACGTTATCTCTAAACTCACCGAGAACGATCACGTGAGCTCGGTAACAGTTCCTCCAAGGTCTGCGGTTGAGAATATGAACCTGTTCATTTGCATTGAAGTCGGGGGCTACTGTCAGGATTATGGATACCACATACCTGATAGTAGTTGGCTAAATCTCGACAGGACCCACCACATACCATGTCCTATACGAAAACAACCTGCGGATATAGGAGGAGTTCCGGATAAGGAAAGACAATCAGAGTTCTACATGGAAACGACAAGGACTAGTCGGATTGTATCCATATTGGTTTCCCTGGTTCTACTTGGACAAGGGGACACCTATGTGTATAAATACAAGGCCCCCTAGGAGGAGAGAACACACAATCAACAGACAATCAACACCCACCATAGAAGAAACGTACAATAGATCAAGACACAAGATCAACATACAAGCCAACATACGCCAAGACAAGATGCCGGATATCGACTTCAGGGATAAGCACGGCTAGTCCCCTTCGGTGTCTCCGGATACTGTCAGGAGAGATGAAAGCGTTATCTCTAATCTCGCCGGGCACGAACTCGAGGAGGAAGACTACCCTGTTGTCGACTACGAGTCAGACCTTCAGACCGCCATGTCAACAACAGTTAGATAGGCTACCCCAAATATTGTACTGGTGTGATTATGGTGAATAAAAGCAATACCGGCTTCGGCCAACAGGATGTAGGGTTATTACCTAACAATTCAGGGGCCCAAACCTGTATAAAAATCCTTGTCTCCATCTCTTTTACCTCAGTCTCGCGTATATCCTAGTACCGACGATCCCCATACCATGCAAATACCGGAATCGCGACATCAAACATCGACACACCCGTTTTATGGGCCAATCGGAAGGTTTACGAGACAAACACTCTCGTAGCAAAGGCAGATGATTTACGACGTAAATAGACAAAGACATATGAAACTAGGGTAAAGTAGAAAACATGGTTGGAAAGTAGAGGTAAAAGAACGATTCGATATATTGTAATGATTGTGGTCGGGGTTAGAGTCGAAATGGCATAGCCTTTAAAAAAGATCAATTAGGACTTAAGAAATCTCGGATTCAAGCAAGGAAATACACAAAATTGTCTTAATTGGACTTGGACTCAGGGCCGCCGGTCTAGCTAACTGGCCGAACAACTGCGGTCTGACTGCCCTTGTGCCGCCGGTCGGACCAACCTCGTGCCAATGATCAGACTGGCCCCACATAGATGGCTTGAGTACTTTTTAAATCTGGCCATGTTTTCCTATTTTTCTTCTAGATGTCAAATTTAGGTGTTAACAATAAGTTTGATATTTTATTTTATGAAAATGATTATATGAATGTTATTTATTTTATTATGATTTGGTCTATCAATAAAATCACTTTAAGTCTTGCTTATATTTTTTTTAATTCTCTTTTAGTAAGTTAAGTGGCCTACCATATGTTTAAAAGTTATTAATCTTATCTATATATCTAGAAATAGAAGTAGTACCGACTACTACGGAGTAGTACAAGTCCATGTACACAAGTGTTATACTCCCTCCGTCCCATAATATGAGGGATCTTAACATTTTCTTGTACTGTTTGACTACTCGTCTTATTCAAAAATTTTTTGTGTAAATATAAAAAACGGAAAGTTGTGCTTAAAATATTTTAGATAATAAAGTAAGTCAAAATAATAATAACTAGCCTGGTGGCCCGCGCAGATTGCGCGGCTAGCATCATTATATTTTCTCTCATATAATAGCATATTTGTTTTCTCATTATATTATTCAAATATATTAAAATGACAACATAATTTTAAATTTTGCAATAACTTTATAAAACTACTAATGTGTAATATTCATATTGTATTTTATATACGTGTTAGTTATTAATTATTTTTAATACCAAATTTTAGTTATTTGTAAATTATAAATATTCCTATATGGACTTTAGACTCGTCTTTTAATATTTCTTTTTTTAATTCCGATTTTTTTTGTAAATTATATTTCTATATAGACTCTATGCTCTTCGTCCAATATTATTTATTTTTATTTCTGAATTTTTATTATTTCTAATTGTATTTCTATGTGGATTCTAAACTCATCTTTCAATATTCTTTAATTTTTAACTTCCAATCTCAGCTATTTTCTAATTGTATTTCTATATGGACTCTAGTCTCCTCTTCTAATATTCCTTATTTTTAATTCCGAATTTCAGTTATTTTCTAATCATATTTCTATATAGACTCTAGTCTCCTCTTCTAATATTCCTTATTTTTTAATTCTGAATTTCAACTATTTCTAAATTGTATTTCTATATGAACTCTAGTCTCCTCTTTTAGTATTTCTTATTTTTTTAATTCCGAATTTCAGTTATTTCTAAATTGTATTTCTATATGAACTCTATTTTTTCTTTTTCTCCGATTAATGTGAGAATTTCTAGGCCATGAGAGCGAACGTAGAGGTTTTTTTTTCTATTCCTTTAATAATATAATAGATAATTTTAAATTTTTTTTAATAAGACGAATGGTCCAACAGTGCAAGCAAATGTAAAAATCTCTTATTTTAGGGGACGGAGGGAGTAGGAAAAAAGAAAATGTACGGTACAGAATACAGCAAGCTCTCTGGCCAAAGAGGGAAGAACAGCAAGCTCTCCGTACTACAGAATTACTCACTTTGATGAACTATAAAGTCGCATGTACAGATTTAATTTGCATGTACAAATGAGCACACTTTGATGAACTATAAAGTCGCTTGCACCTTATATATATCTCCCTAGTACACCTAATTTACACTTGCACACCGTATACACTTGGAGGCCGGGAGCAGCTACTACACATATACTACTGCACATATAACGTTCAGACTTCAGAGTTTCAGACAACAGGTACGTACCTGTCTGTTGTTCAGTAATCACACGGAATCAAATCGGCCTCATCATCACACAGAAAATTCAAGGTATATCTACGTACTTTGGGCCAGTTATCGATTGGGACAATCAGCTACTAGATTCGGTCGCAATATGTCCTCCGATCATCCGATCATCGTGACGATCGAGACGACGACGGCCGGCATGCTCGCGCGCGAGCAGAAGCAGCATCGATCGTACACTAGCTGGTGCAGCTACATGATGGCGCAGCTGTCCGGGTCGTTGTTGGCGTACTGGTGGTGCACGACGGTGTGCGTGTTCGTCGTCGCCGCCGCCGCCGGCGGGTAGTACGACGACGACTGCCCGTACTGCGGGTACGACGACGACTGCCCGTACTGCGGGTACCCGCCGCCGCCGCCGCCGTAGTAGCCACCCGTGGCCATCGTCATCGGCGTGTAGTAGCCACCGCCGCTGCCGCCGCCGCCGCCGCCGCGCTGGTGAGGAGGAGGGTACCCGCCGTTGCCGTAGTACGGGGCCGGGGGCGGCGCGCCGGGGTAGTAGCGGTACGGGTACTGGTTGGCGGCGGCGACGCGCATGAGCTCGTCGGCGTCGACGGTGCGCAGCTCCACCACCTCGGCGTGGCCGACCTTCCTCCGCAGCTTCTCGGTGAGGTCGTTGGAGTCCACCCCGAAGCCGATCACCAGCAGCAGGTTCTTGTCCTCGCCGGCGAGCGTCACGGATTCCACACCTGCTCCATCGGTTCACGCAGAACAAATTAGTAGCATGCAGTCTGATCAGTCTCATGCACCGTGATTATTACATCGATTACAGTTAAATTACTATTAGTTCTTGATCTCTCAAGAAAAATATCACCATCTTTTTATTATATATACTTTCGCTGAAATATGTGTGATTATTACATCTATCATATAGTTAAATTACTATTGGTTCTTGATAACTCAAGAAAAGCGCCATCTTTTTATTATATTTCGCTGAAATATGTGTTTGGGTGTGCAAGGAATTTTTACCGGAGACTGCAGCAGCAACCTTGATAGCTTTCTTGTGGCCCTTCTCAGAGCTCTGCAGCCTGATGACAATTTCCTTCTGCAAAAGGTTTCAAACGGTGTAACGATTAGCAGCGGGAACAAACATAAATCTTACATCTTTGCACAAAATAACAGATTTTTCACTGATGATGAAACAGAGAAAAATTGACAGATGAGCAGCAAGACCATATACAATTACACATACATACCCTCATATCTTTCTCCTGGTAAGCAAGCAAACTAAAGCAAGCGAAGCAACAGCTCAATATACTACTCTTTTCCAAGCTCACAAGCTTAAGCAAGAGAGCGAGCCTTGTGACTAGTGTACTCTACCTTGCCTAACACAGCATTCTGCAGAGAGAGGGAGAGAACCTCCCTTTTTATACACACAATTACTAGTAAACTATCCAATAATCTAACGAATAAAATTAACCCGGTTAGTTAATTACCTTAATCGCCCCCATTGACTTTAGCGGCGGAGTCATGCATGCACAGCACTGCTTCACTACTGAAAACACGCATGTATAATGTATCGATGTATATCTCTACGGCCTTTGAGAGAGCGACATGAATTGTAGACTAGGAAGACCTGGATGGCCTCCTAGTAGTTTAGCTAAAATCAGCTTAATTAGTTTGCTTGGAGCAGGTGGTGACTTACTGACTCGGCCACCCTAATTCCACAAAAACCAAACGCCCACTTGCATTGCTCCCGTAGCAACGCGTGATTTGCCTCAGTTTTCCACTGAAAAAATTACTCCATCAGTCCCAAAATATAAGTATTTTTAGACTCTGACACAGTCTTCGAGATGATACTTTGACCAACAATATTTATTAAAAAAAGATATTTTAAATAAAAAGAATTGCATATTATGATAGTTTGATTAATGATAAATCTAGTAACATCAATTTTACATGATTAATTTTTTTATTTCTTTTGCTATTAATAGTTAAAGTTAAAAATGATTGATTTGGCACTATGTTAAAAATATTTATATTTTGAGACGGAGGGAGTAAGCAGTAGGAGACAAGGAAAACGTTGTCTAAGCTGTAATGCCGGTACGTACAGTGGGCGACTAATAATCCTTCTCGTGGTTGTTTTTCTCGCCCGGAATTTGGAGGATTCGCGGTAAAAAAAAAATAGTGCCACGGAGCTGTCAGTGCTCAGTACTGTCAGTACTTAATTAATTACAATACTGGGTAATGGGAAGTAAACCGGCTGATCTATCAGTGACGAGTGAGTGAGACGGACGGCCGAGATGGCGCCGTGCTGCGCCGGGAGAGCTCCGTCGGCCGTTCGATCAGGCGGGTGAGCTGGAGACCGACCGGGCAAGCGTTCGTAGCCGGCAAGGTGAAAAGGGCTTTTATGTGGAGATATTCACAGGGATGACAGGAGGTTGCCGACTTGCAGGGTGAGTGAATTGAACAATGAAACAGCTTAAGTAAACACAATGTTAACCCTGACAAAAAAAAGGGTTAAGGCGACAATCGCTACGCGACTTGTTTGTTTCTTTTGTGCGCAGATTTTGGAAGTGGAGCTGTCAGTGTTGTCAGTTAATTACATTGGAGAAGTAACCGATCAAGTAAGTGAGTGTAAACCGTTAATTTTTTTGGAAACATACTTTTATTTTTCATATTTTGTATTTATATACATGTCCAAGATTAACTTACAAAAATATACCCAATCCGCATATTAGTTGCACAGGAGCGCCGGTCCCGCAGGACAGGCGAGCGACAACACGGTGATTTGCATGCGGAGCTCTGCCGCATATTGGATATAAGGGACCGCCGCTCCCACACATGTCTTTTCCCAAATTGGGAATACATGTCCCGTCCAAAAAACAGAGCAGTACATTGGCACGTGATTAATTAATTACTAGTTAATTTTTTAAAAAAGAAATGGATCAATATGGTTTTTTTAGCAACTTTCCTATAAAAACTTTTTACAAAAAATGCACCGTTTAATAATTTGAAAAACGTGCGCGCGGAAAAAGGAAGGAGATGAGTTGGAAAAATTAGGGGAATAACACACGAAACCGGAGTGCTCCCGCATATTGGATGCGCGGGACTGCCACTCCCGCACACACGTCCTTTCCTAAATTGTGAATACATATCCCGCACGAAAAACGGAGTAATACATTAGCACGTGATTAATTAATTATTAGTTAATTTTTTTTTCTAAAAATAGATTAATATGATTTTCATGAGCAACTTTAGTATAGAAACTTTTTACAAAAATTGTTCCGTTTAGCAGTCGTGCACGCAGAAAATGAAGGAGATGAGTTGGAAAAAATTGAGGGAATAACACGGAATAACACACGGAGCCGGAGACTGGCTCGGTACCGTGTGCTAGAACCGCGGGACCACGCCGGTCCCGCATCGCCGTTATGCGGTACCGCCGCGCTCACCCCGGGTCCAGACGGCGCCATCACTCCCGCGCATCGGCGCCGCGGTACCGACTCGGTCCCACAGTCTAGCCGTGCGGGACCAGCTCAGTCGCGCATCCCGGTTCCGCGTGACCAGCTCGAGTCTGCGGTTCGCCCTCGCTCCCGCACAATCATTACACGGATTAGGTATATTTTTACAAATTAATCTTACATACGTATATAAATGCAAAATATGAAAAATAAAACTATATTTTCAATTTGTTTCTATCTTTATCTTATACTGATCAAGTATATGAAACATCAACAATGGTCAAATTGTTCGAAAAAAAAAGGTGACTGTAACGGGACGGCTGAGATCAAGCCATCTTGTGTCAGGGGAGCTCACCGCGGCCGTTGATTGATGTGATTAAGCTGGAGACCGGGTGGTGAGACTGTTTTAAGAGGTGAAACAGGGTCTTGGACCCTTTTTAGATGGGATTAAAACTTTTAATTCCCTATCACATTGGATGTTTGACACTAATTATAAATATTAAACATAGACTATTAATAAAACCCATCCATAATATAATCTTGGACTGATTCGCAAGACGAATCTATTGAGTCTAATTAATCCATAATTAGCCTATGTGATCCTACAGTAAATATTCTTTAACTTAAAAAAATTATCTCGCAAATTAGCTTTTATTTATGTAATTAGTTTTGTAAGTAGTCTATATTTAATACTCTAAATTAGTGTCTAAATATAAAGACTAAAGTTAAGTCCTTGGATTAAAACACCACCATGCTTGAGATGTTCAGAGAATAAGAGGAGGTTGCAGTAGCTTGCTGGTGAGCGGATGGATCGACAGCTTATCTAACCCCAGTAGTGGTAACCACTGTCAAAAAGAAAAAAAAAAGGGAAAATGGAAAATTCTAAGCCAACTGACCGCGACGTGTTTGGACGCGACACCATCTTCCTTGCCGGGTTTTCCGTCTTGAGTAGTGAGCTTTAGGCTCGCGTCGGCGCGTGACGTAGGCGTGCCGCACTAGCTTCCGTCATCAGACTCTGTGTTAAGTTGTCAACTTATATTATCAGTAGAAAAATTGCCAGCTCAAGGTCCATGGGGAGGTGGCTTAATTACAGGCCTAACGATAACGATATACAGCTAGCCTCGACGCAATTAAATTGGACGAAGTGTTTGAGGTGGATCGGTGAATTTGAAAGGCTCTCCGTTGGAGAAATGAAAAAAAAAAGAAACAAATCAGTTTTGCTCTGTGCTGTTTTGTCTGAGTCAGAAAAATGGGTTTAGCTGATGCGGTGTCCTAGAGGAGGCAAGCATATGCTGGTGAGGTCTGGCATCTTAAAAATACAAGAACAAATTTAAAAACTCCGGTCTGTGGATGACCGGATATAGATTATTTTGAGTCACGATACAGCCGTGCTACCATCATCGCAAGATTCCTTTGAATCTTTGACCAGCACCATCCAATCAAATCATAGCACACATTCAGTTATTGGCAAAGCCGGATCGATCTATTTGATTTGTTATCTAAAAAAACATACAGTAGTTTGCCATAAAAAAAAAACATAGCAGTACAATACATTTGTCGTCGTACAGTTTTCTTCATTTTGTTGTCTTGCTAGATAGAAGTAGCTTCTAAAATCCCAACACAACGTTTTTTCCGGATTTTTTAGTCGCGCTTTGGTTAATGAAACAGGTGGGGGGAAAATCATAGCCCCGGAACGGTATTGGGCTACTGGCGCCAACGTGCGAATAAGTCCATTTTGTCACCCTCATCTATTGCGCTTGTGTGAATAACATCTCTCAACAGGAAAACTGGGTATAATGCCTCCTTCTTCTTTGAAAACCAGAGCAAATCACCTTCCTAGGTGGTTTTGCTGGCAGTTTCGTCCGACGTGGTGTTGTTGACCCGGTTGACAAGCTGACTCAGCGTGGTGGGACCCACATGTCAGTGTGTAGCTCTCTCTCCCCCTTATTTCTCTCTCAGCCCTCCTCCGCCAACGCCGACACCCTCGTCTCCGCGTGCCCACAACTCGTCGGCCACCTCGTCCGTCTCGACCGCCTCCACTTTGCCCGCCCGGTGCCCCGCGCCGTCGGGATCCGCCCCGTCCCATCCTCCCACAGTGTCTCCTTCGTCGGCGACCCGGAGCCGCTCATCGCCCGCCCCACCGCGAAATGCGTGGTGCCCAGCCTTGTTGCGGCCAAGGAGGAGAATCGCCGCACGGCGAAGGAGCCGGCGATTATCGTGCCATCGAGGTACAGGCAGGTCGGAAGCGGCTGCGGTGGCGGCAGGGACAGTGGTCGGAAGCGGCGGCGATGGCGGCGGGGACAGCGGTAGGGAGCGGAGAAGGAGGTGGCGGCAGTGACGGTTGGGACGGCGGTCGGGAGCGGCGGCGGTGGCGGTGGGGATGGCGGTCGGGAGCGGAGAAGGAGGCGGCGGCCGGTTGGCCGCGACCTCCCGGCGCCTGGTGAGCTCCTCCCTCACCGCCGCCACCCACGGGGAGAGGATCTCGCCAGCTTGCTACCACCGCCGCGTTTCCTCCTCCGATCCGCCACCACCGTCGCTAGCCGATGCCTCCCTCCCCACCGCTGCCGTCCACGGGGAGAGGATGTCGCCGGGAGGTCGCGTGCTGGGAAGAGAGCTGTCCCCACCGCCACCGCCGCCGCTTCCAACCGCCGTCCGCCGTCGCTTCCGACCGCTGTCCCCACTGCCACCGCCGCCGCTTCCGACTGCCGTCCCCACCGCCACCGCCACGACTTCCGACCACCTGCGCCGTTCCCCACCGCCGTTCCCACGCGCAAGAGATGAGAGAGAGAGAGAGAAAGGCCGGGGAGAGAGATAAGATGGAGAGAGAGCTACACACTGATATGTGGGTCCCACCACGCTGAGTCAGCCTGTCAACCGGGTCAACAACGCCACGTGGACGAAACCGCCAGCAAAACCACCTAGGGAGGTGATTTGCTCTGGTTTTCAGAGAAGAAGG